TGCCGGATCCAATATGGTGGACGAAAAAATAAAAATCATCCGGATTGGCTTGAAAATTGTTACCCCGGGGGTTTTTGGAGTAGTTGATTACGAATCGGATGTTAGTTTTAAAAAATCCAAAATTGCAGGTCAATTACACTGGACGATATTTTTAAAAATTGACTAGATTTACAATAAAGTTGCCAGATTTTGAAAAAAAAAAATATTTTAGAACCTAAAAATCAGCAGATTTAGAGTAGGTATAACATTTTTTAACATAACAGTAGTGTTGTTTTGATCCATACAGTTCTAAAATATAAATGTGCTAAATATTTTTTTTAATCTAGTCAATTTTTAAACATTTTGTCCGCTATATTTGACCCGCAATTTTTGATTTTTGAAAACTAACATCAGATTCGTAATCAGCTACTCCAATAATTTTCGGGTAATAATTTTCAAGCCAATCCGAATGATTTTTATTTTTTCGTCCGCCACATTAGACCCGGAATTTTTTATTTTTAAAAACAAACATAAAATTCGTATCAGCGACCCTGAAAACCCCCGAGTAACAAGTTTCAGGCGAATTTGGTAAATTTTTAAAAATGTCGTTCCCCATAATGGATCCGCTATTTTGGATTTTTTAAAACTAACATCAAATTCGTAATTAGCGACCCTATAAACTCCTAAGTAACAATGTTCAAGCGAATTTGAGTCTAGTTCGAGTTCAGTTATTAAATTATTAGTGATTTAATACGTACCCTATTTTTAGTTTTTTAAGACGAAGAAGTTATGATAGGTTTGATTTGAAGTAATTTTTAATGTCACAGTATTATCATTAACTAAATGTGACTTTTATAGGTTCTCAATATTAAATTGTCAATCGATACTGATCAGTTGAAAACTTATTTTACCCTATTATATCCACCATTTAAAATTTTTAAAATTTGATGTCAAATGTAATTAGTGTATATAAGCATTAAGGAATCTTTCTAGTCAAGGAATTCAAAAAAGTCGATTTTGTCTGCTTCAAAATGATCCTTAGTATCATAAACTTCTGCCCAAAACATTTTTGAAGGAATATAAAAAAAATATAGCAATTTACATGACCTTATGACTTAACCCACTATAATAAGTTAAAAATATTATAAACGCGTGTTTCTAGAAAAAACAGTTTTGAAAATGGGTATCTTTTCTTAAAAGTTACCAAACCGATTTTAAAAAATCTGAAAGCATTGGATTCTTTATCTAAAAAACTAGACATCAAATCTCTAAAACCCTACTATTATACATTTTGTATAATAAGAGTTTAAAAACTTGTTTTTATCAACTGTACCAGAAAGTTCCCTTAACCCTCAAAGCGCACACTTTCTTAAATTAAAAATCGTATTTTAAAATCGCTTTATTAATACAAAAACGGTTATTAATTTTACTTACGAAATATAAAGTTAAGTTCAAAATATATCGCTTTATGGCATCACATGTTGAAATTTTACGAATTTAAACGAGATATTAAAGTTCAAATATATTATAGTATGGGTGTGAAACACCCAGTCTGCGCTGTAAGGGTTGATGAAACAGCGAATAATTACTGATTTAACAATTTATATTATATACGTTGTTTAAATCAACTGTACACCACCACAGCACCGAAACTTTCCTAAAAATTTATTAAATATTTACTTGCAATATTCGGAATATTCAATTGCAATGTATATTGAAAGTTGTGTAAAGATTTAAATGTCCTGATTAAATAAATGTTTAGTGTGAAAATTTCCTGAACATTTAAATTATATTTTCGCCTAATTATAATTATAATTAGGCGCAGATTTTATTGAAATGTTCAGGAAAATTTCGCGCTATAAACATTTATAAACAAAAGTTGTAGAGAACATATTTCTCTACATTTTATCTGATTGGGCCACTACTGTACAACTTAATGTGCGAAAGCAAGAGGGCGCCAAAATTGCTAAGAATCAGTTTTTCTTCTTTTTCGTACCAAAAAAATCATTTTTGCGTTTTGGTGTAAATAGAAAAGTTGTAGAGCTCAAAAAACCTACAAAATTCATATACATAATTTTTTATCCCACATGCACAAAAACGGCGCTTTCTGATAGCAGCCGACAGGGAGGAAAGTCATTCATTTCTTCGACCGTATGAAAATGGCGGCCGTGTTTTCCCAAGGGCAAGAAAATTAGCTGTTCACATGCATTTTTCTTGCCCAAGGGAGAAATCGGCCGCCATTTTCATACAAATCGAACAAGTGAATGACTTTTACTCCCTGTCGTCTGCTATCTGAAATCGCCGCTTTTGTGCATTAGGAATAAAAAATATCGTAAGTAACACGAGAATAAAGGCAGCCAATTTCTTTACGATGATTTTTGTGACACGAGTGGAGGTCTCGGGGCGCCTACGGCGCCCTCGACCTCCACTCGTGTCACAAAAATCACCGTAAAGAAATGGCTACCTTTCTCCTCTTGTTGCTTAATATACTATTTTTTCACGTTGCACTCTTTTGGAGTTACAGGCTATTTATTAATTGTTTCGTATAGGTAATACATATAATTGGCGGGAATGGAATGACCGAAGTTCTATTTATTGTTCTCGAGGTTTGTGATTATAGCAAAATGTTAAATTTGGTTTACTATTTTAGCGGAAAAAAGCGTTTTATTGAAAAAATTACAGTTATTTGAAAATCATCCATATATTATAAATAGTAGTTTAGTAACGTTCGCGTTGAAACCGGGCGAGTGTAAAGACGAGTTCGTAGATCATTGTTCAAAGGAAAAAACGAGGTCCACCCTTGATTATACAATACTTTATGTCATATATGCTTAAAACCGAAAAGTCATCCTAACCTAAAAATTTCGACTGAATCGTAAATTTTCGAAAAGAATGCACAATTAATAATCTAATCGAAATTTTTAGGTTAAGATGACTTCACGATTTTGAACAATGTTCTACGAACGTTACTAAACTCCGCTTTACACCCTTGGTGCATAATACACTATTATGTCAGCGTTATATTTATATTTATAATATATGGATGATTTTCAAATAACTATCATTTTTTATTAAAACACTTTTTTCCGCTAAAATAGTAAACTAAATTTAACATTTTGCTGTAAACATAAACCTCGAGAACAATAAATAGAACTTCGGTCATTCCATTCCCGCCAATTATATGTATTAACTATAAGTAACAATTAATAAAGAGCCTGTAGCTTCAAAAGAGTGCAACGTGGAAAAAAATTATGTATATGAATTTTGTAGGTTTTTTGAGTTCAACAACTTTTCTATTTACACCAAAACGCAAAAATGGTTTGTTTTGTACGAAAAAGAGGAAAAACTGATTCTTAGCAATTTTGGCGCCCTCTAGCTTTCGCACATTAAGTTGTACAGTAGTGGCCCAATGAGATAAAATGTAGAGAAATATGTTCTCTACAACTTTTGTTTGAGAAATTTTTTAGTAAAACTTACGGTTTTGCACAAAATCGAATCCAAAGAAATTTTGAGTTTCTCCCCCTTCCCCAAGGGAGGGTGTCCCAACTTTTTGGTTATAAGCTAGTCACATATACCACTAACGATTTATGAAATAGTCTCGAGTAAGGTATTTTTTTCCAAAAAAACGGCTTTTTCAAGCTAGATTGACTGTACTATCACAGACTTGGAAGTATTTACTTGCAAAGTTTAGTGAAAATTATGTAAAGATTTAAATGTCCCACTTCAATAAATGTTTAGCGTGAAACTTTCGCTTATAATAGAGTAACCGAAAATGTAATTTAAAAGTTCAGGAAAGTCTCACACTAAACATTTATTGAAGTGGGACATTTAAATCTTTACACAATTTTCGCTAAACTTTGCAAGTAAATTCTTCCAAGTTTGCAAGTAACTCTTTTATAAATTTTCAGGAAAGTTTCAGTACTGTGTTTTTAAAACATCACCAAGCAGGAAGGAAAGTATTAATGCATCTAAATGGACATGAAATTACTGGTGTAGATTTATAGAGTTCATTATGTTAATTTTATGCTCGATTTTATATACAGTAGGGGAGACTGGGGTAAACCCGCTCACAGGGTAAACCCGCTCACTAGGGATTTTACGCCATGAACTCAACTTAAGATGAAGATATTGGTACTGTGAATAGTACTTGACATTCAACTTATATTAACGAACTTTCGTTTAGTTTTATGAACTGAACATAGAATCAGAGACGATCAAATGTTTTTAGAGGTGTCAGAAAAAAAACGTATTTTGGATTTTTAAGTTTTTCGATCATTATTTTTGAGTCTTAATTTATCTGGCAAATTTTTTTTGTTGCTATTGGATGTCCTTCTTCGAAGTACATATATAGTTTTGTCTTATTTTAAAAAGATTTAATTAAATTTATTCTGAAATGTGAGGAATACACTCGGGGTAAAGTCGCTCACGTGAAGTCGGGGTAAAGCCGCTCACTTAGTTTTAAATTTAAAATTTAGAATAAAATAATTTCACGTATTATATTTCAACAATAACACAATTTATGACTTATTAAAACCAAAATTGTAACTACATTTCACTTTCTCTTAATAAAATATAACACTATTTAAATCCATAGTTGTAATTCATGAAATCTATGTTCATTATTTATTAAACCAATTTGTTGTTTATAGAATTGTTTATAAAACTCATAAATTATCAATAATAATTCATACTTAAGACGGGAATAAGACGAACTTTAATATTTAAAAAATAAAACTCTTCCGTCTTGAAAAGATAAGGTGAGCGGGTTTACCCTGGAAAATTGTGATTTTGAAATTTGCTATATGTTTATTAAAAAGTTTCTCTAAGTAAAACTAAAAAATATAAATCAAAAACTCTTTTTAATTTTTTTAGTAGAAATCATAAGCTTTCAAATGATATAAATTAACTTGGATTTAGAGAATAATTTCCTAGATTTTAGCCGATCTGAAAAAAAGTGAGCGGGTTTACCCCAGTCTCCCCTAACAAAAATTAAGTGTGCTATTAGTGAAAATATTAATATACCTTGTGACAGGCGTCCTGCAAATAAATGAAGAAATTGTGTGAAATTAATAGGTACAGGTACTTCCTCTAACATTGCTTCTACATCACTCTCCTCTACCAATTTTCCAACTTGATCAAAGATCCATGTTAAGTCTTCCTTTCCAATAACACCATCTTTGTCATGATCTATCAGTGCAAATCCCTAAAACAATCAGTTGAATAATAATTAAATTTTTTCATTTTATTTCTATCTAATTTTAGAATTAGGTTTGTACCATAAAATTTATGGAAACTAAAATTTTTTCCTGTTCATTTTTTGATAGATGATAAAATTTTGAACAGAACAAGATTTTTCAGAAGTTATTAGCCCAATATTTCACATTATATATTTTCGTAGAGTTTTCGATACAACTGTTAAACTGGTACCAACTCTAATTGGAGTTGGTAACAGTTTAACATTTTTTTAATATTTCCTTATTACATTTGTTTAATTTCTTGTATTAATTTTACACGGAAAAAAATCCTTAGCTGATAAAGAATTTTTAAACTGTTACCAAATCTAATTGGAGTTGGTAACAGTTTAACAGTTTTTTAAAAGTTATCGCAGACTCTACAAAAATATACGATATGAAATATTTGCAAAATTTCCGTATGGAATTTCCGTAAAGCGCTTTTCGTAGAATCGTTTCACGTGGGATGTTTTACAAAAATTTGAATAAATTCTAAAATAATCAACGCTTTTTAATTATCTTACGCTTATTTTAAATGTAATTTTTTACAGAATGAGAATTACTTACAAGCATTAACGTGTAATTTTTTTCTTATAAAATGCAGATCGTCAAAGTTAGATGAAAAATTTCAAGAAATTTGAAATAATTTTGTTGTACTAAAAACTATTCTAGAAAATATATAAAACATAATATGGTGTAGATTTTTCAAGAGAATTTAATAAAAAAATATGTTTGAATATTAAAAATTGTTTTTCTGGTAATGATTGTTTCAGATTTTTGAATTTTTTTGGTCGAAGTTTGAAGACTTACATTTTCCAAAAAAAAAATTACATGTTAATGCCTATAAGTAATTCTTATTCTGTAGAAAATGACCTTTAAAATAAAAAATCGGTGGTCTCTCAATTTTGGCCAATACTGTACTCTCTGAATTTGAATCAGTGGAATTTACTGGGTTCTAGTTCTAAGTATACAACTTTTACTGCTTTTCTAGTGAATTTTAACTGATTACCAGTAAAAGTGGTATTCTTATAACTGGATCACATTGAATTCCACTTAATTCACAATTAAGAGAATACCAAGAAGAAAAATTTTTTCACCTCTTTAAACTCAGCGACTTGTTTTTGAGTAAACATAGAAAACACACTGGATCCTGTGCGTTTGACTTTTCTGCTTCCTCGACTTTCTCTACTAGATCTAGAGGACTTTGGAGTTTCTGCGGGTGTTGGTGGTTTTTCTGGTACTGGTTCAGGTTCGGGAGCTGGAGCTGGTGCAGCTTCTGCTGCTGGAGCTGCTTTTGCATCATCCTTCTTTTTAGTCTTTTTCTTAGTCTTATCAGCCTGAAATTAACGAAAAAACAATTTTTATAACGTAGTGACAAATAATGAAATGGAAAGTCATATATGGATTGCAGAATGTATAATGAAAAGCAGAATCTTTAAATAAGTGTTTAAGAATGTTCATCCAAAAAAAAGCAAACTTTAAAAAATAATCATTTAACATGTAAAAAATTAAAATTTTATTATTTTTAAAATTTTCTGGAAGAACATGTATTAATGTTCAAGAAAATATATTTAAAACCTACAAAATTTATTTGTTTTTACAATTTAAATGTGATGGCGGATGTAATTCTGTATCTGCTATGTTTTTAGAGAAGTTGAATTTTTAGTCTTGTTTTGAGTAAACATATTTTCGAAGAATTTTAAATTAAACTTTAAATTACTTTTATAATCTCTATAAAGAAGATATAACAAGAAATTTGGAACAGATGTTAATTGTATAAATGAAATTTTTCATTTTTTTGACAATTTATATTTTTCTTTTTCTAGAACATACTATTAACAATAATATGTTAATTATTTAAATGTTAATTAATTATTTTTCAAGATGTCTGGATTCTGATCGATTAACTACCTTAAACAGCTGTGATGATTGAAAAAATCATAAATAAATTGAGATGTTAAATAGTGAGATTGCTTAAAGTATCAATACAATTTAAAAGATGTTCGATAGTTGCTAAAAATAAGATAAACATCAGTATACAATAGTGGAGGCGAAGTGCCAAAAAGCGAATTTTTAGAATCTCTCTTAAAAGTTTCTTCTTACTTTAAAGCGGATGTCACTTTTTTAATACTGAAGCAACAAACATTAATTTTCCAACGTCAAAGCACGATATTCACAAAAAATATCACATCACGTAATCCTTCAGATCATATGAGTACACTACATAAAAAACTGAACATATTTTTCAATCAGATGTATTAAAAAGGTTCTTCATTTTTGGTCAGTGAGTGTCAAAGGTTGTTTTCTTTAATTTTCCAACAAAATGCACTTCTTTGAAAATTTGACTGCTTGATGTTTAATAATATTTTTCTCCTATTCTGTAATTAATTATTGCACTGATACTTACCATGGTTGAAAAGTTAGTTTTCAAAGAAGAATGTACAAGATGATTACAGAGAAACAACTGATCATGTGATTGATCTGAACTTCTCTATGTATCTTTTGATAGCCTCCCCCTCCATTACTTGATTAATTGAGTAGGGATCTCTTACCTGGTACATTGCCAACATCTATCAGACCATATATAGTGTCAGCAAACTCGAAATAGTACCCCTTATAATTGTCTCTTAAAGAAAAGTGTGTTGATAAAAGAACGTGATATTTATCTCTTTTGGTTTGTTTAAATAATAATACATTTAATTATATTTAGCTCTGAAATATTTAACATTTCTGTACCTTGATCATGCAGTATTATCACTATTAAGAATGATCTTTAATTTTAAAGTTTAAAAAAAGAAGAGTAAAATTTGTTACAGGTGTTTTTTTCAAAATAAGACAACTCCATATCATTCAAATACAAAAATTAATAAAAGCATATAAGTTTTTTCTTTTTACAAAATTAAACATTTTTTAAATAACAGTAATGGAGAAAATTATTATAATTAATTTTAATTAACCCCTTGACTGCCGATGGCAAAGATATTTGCCATTTCGGACTTTGCTCTGACTGCCGGAAAACTGACAATCTTTGCCATGATAAAAATTGATGTAAAAAAGTCAAAAATGGCTAAAAATTAAAAATAAAATAATTTCTTAAAAGTCAACGCTATGTAGAATGCGACGCACGTTTCTGTTTTTAAATTCAATAAATTATAAAAATGTTATAAATTTTTAAAAACAACACTTTTAGCAAATTTTTCAAAATCTTTGCCATAGACAATACAATGCATTTTTATTTTAAAAATGTCTAAAATCGCCTGAAATCTATTACTCGGGGGTTTTCGGGGTCGCTGATTACGAATATGATGTCAGTTTTTTAAAATTCAAAATGGCGAATCCAATATGGCGGACGACTTTTTTCAAAATTGTTCCAAATTACCTGAAATTTGTTACTCGGGGGTTGTCGGGGTCTCTGATTACGAATATGATAATGGTTTTTTAAAATTCAAAATGACGGATCCAATATGGCGAATGACCTTTTTAAAAATAAATCCAATTTACTTGAAATTTGTTACTCAGGGGTTATCGGGGTCGCTAATTACGAATATGATGTCGGTTTTTCAAAATTAAAAATGGCGGATCCAATTTTGCGGATGCTTTTTTTAAAAATTGATCCAATTTACAGGAAATTTGTTATTTGGGGATTGTCTGGGTCGCTGATTACGAATATGATGATGATTTTTTTAAATCCAAAATGGCGGATCCAATAAGAGCAGACATTTTTTTTTTAAATTTTGGATTCGCTTGAAAATTATCATTTGTGGGTTTTTGTGGTCGCTTATGACGAATCCGATGTCAGTTTTTAAAAATTCAAAATTTCGGATCTAATATGGCATACCGTGGAGATTTACTTTACCTATGAACTTATTGGAAAGGAGGAATGCGTTAGGACATTTCAATGGAATTTTAATTTTTGCACGCTCTTTATAGCTGTTCTATGAAACCGGCATTTGTAAAATTTATTCTGCTTTTATGATAAAAACAAATTTTTTAAAAAAAAGTGTCCGCTATATTGGATCCGACATTTTGAATTTTTAAAAACAGACATCCGATTCGTCATCAGCGACCCCAAACACCCCCGAGTGATAATTTTCAAGAAAATCCAAAATTTAAAAAAAATATCTGATATAATGGACTCTCCATTTTGAATTTTGAAAAACTGACATAAAATGTCCACCATATTGGATCCGCAATTTTTAATTTTTAAAAACTGACATCGGATTTATCATCAGCGACCCCAAAAACCTTCTAATGATAATTTTTAAGCGAATCCAAAATTTAAAAAAAATGTCCGCCATAGTGGATCCGCCATTTTGAATTTTAAAAAACCATCATCATATTCGTAGTCAGGGACCCCAAACCTCCTCGAGTAACAAATTTTAGGTAATTTTAATCTATTTTTAAAAATCCGTCCGACATATTGGATCCGCCATTTTGAATTTTGAAAAACCGACATCAGATTCGTAATCAGCGACCCCAAAAATCCCCAAGTAACAAATTTCAGGTAATTTGGATTAATTTTTAAAAAGCTGTCCGCCATATTGGATCTGCCATTTTGAATTTTAAAATACCGACATCAGATTCGTAGTCAGCGACCCCGAAAACCCCTGAGTAACAAGTTACAGACAAATTGGACGATTTTTTATTTTTGGCATTCTGGGCACATTCAGTATTTTTCAGCCGGCAGTTAAGGGGTTAAGAAAAATTTTTATTTTTCGAAAATGTATATTTCATGAAACGGGAAAAAAGTTGTCGTTACTCATTTGTTTTCAATCTGTAAATGTTTCTTTTTTTAATCTGTAGTAGATGTTCATTTGTTTTCAATCTGTAGTAGATGTTTATCTGTTTTTAATTTGTAGTAGATGTTCTTTTGTTTACAACATGTAGCAGATGATCATTTGTATTCAATATTTAGTAGATGTTAATTTGTTTTCAATATGTAGCATATGCTCATTTGTTTTCAATATGTAGTAGATGCTCATTAGTTTTCAATATGTAGTAGATGTTCATTTGTTTTAAATATGTAGTAGGTACTCATTTGTTTTCAATATGTACACTACCGTCGGGAATTATCGGTACGGCTGCACGCGCATGGCTAAAAAACGTACCAATCTTTAAACCTCAATTTTTTTGTAAATACAAATGTCAGAAAATTAACAAATATACCATTCGAAAGATTATTTAATTCTACGATTAATGGTACATAAGTTAAAATATTAATAATTTATACAAAGATTGCAGCAATCGACAAATTTGACAAAAAAATTTTAAAAATACAATTTTTTTAGAAATTTTTTCAATCCCTGCACATTTTTTAAAAATTGTAGAAAAAATTTGAAACTTATATAGATGTGATTATTCAAGTCTCATCTTTAATTTAAGACCAAAAGAGTTCAAAAATCTTAATCGGTTAGCGAGATATCATTATAAACGTCCGAGCATGTTTTTTGACAAATGCATTGAATTAGTCGATTTTGAACGGTTTTTGGATGAAAATGCTCGGCCGTTTATAATGATATCCCGCTAACCGATTAAGATTTTTGAACTCTTTTGGTCTTAAATTAAAGATGAGACTTAAATGATCACATCTATATAAGTTTCAAATTTTTTCTATAATTTTTAAAAAATGTGCAGGGGTTGAAAAAATTTCCAAAAAAATTTTATTTTTTAAATTGTTTTATCAAATTTGTCGATCGCTGCAATCTTTGTATAAATTATTAAAATTTTCAGTTATGTATCATTAATCGTAGAATTTAATGATCTTTCGAATGGTATATTTGTTAATTTTCTGACATTTGTATTTACAAAAAAATCGTGGTTTAAAGATTGGTATGTTTTTGGGCCGTGCGCGTGCAGCCGTACCGACAATTCCCGACGGTATCTGTAGTAGATGTTCATCTGCTTTTAATCTGTAGTAGAGAATCATTTGTTTTTAATCTGTAGTAGGTGCTCATTTGTTTTCAATATGTAGTAGCTAATCATTTGTTTTCAATTTGTAGTAGATGTTCATTTGTTTTCAATCTGTAGTAGATGTTCATCTGATTTTAATCTGTAGGAGAGAATCATTTGTTTTCAATCTGTAGTAGGTGCTCATTTGTTTTCAATTTGTATTAGGTGCAACGGTCAACTGCGCACCAAATTCAATTCCGAATTCCGAAATTTTTCAGGTTTAACTACTGAAATCTTCTATGGCGAATAAAAGCAAAAGTTAGGAAAGCAAATGAAAATAATCATTATGAATTTTGTAAGATGTTGAGAACATTTCAGAAATTACTATTAAACTTATTTTTAAAAATTACAGAAAAGAAAATTCTGAATTATTTTCAGGTTCTCTGGTAAAGTTTCGTACTTTAAATTTAAATTTAAATTATTATAACTATTACCTGTTTCTTTAATAATCTTTTTAATTTTCTGTTGCATGTTAAATTCATTGTCTTCAACATTTGATTTAATTTACGAGAATTTTAAAGTTGTTTCAAATGTTTTTCTATTTTACTTCTATCCAACTTAAACTGCCAATATATTGGCAGCCATATATGGACAGACCTGGGACAGACATGCCAACTGTAGTTGTATATCAAAATTTTATCTAAAGAGGACAACTTATTGACGGTGTGTTATCGATTTTGACCTTTTAAGATCCAGACATTACATTATTTTACTTTACAAGAAAAGGATAAACTTAAAGCTATAAATAAAAAAGAAATTAACAAAGTCTTGAAAAAGAAATCTCTGATTATTCATTTCTTCTTCTAGCTCGAAACACTGTTCATCGTATTCTTCACTTTTTTCAATAACTCTTTGTAAATCATCAAAATCTACATGAAGTTTTAGCAGTTGTTGTTGAAAAACTCTTTCGCGGCAAATTGGACATACTCTTGTTCTTTTTAAGGGGTTACATCTGGTTGGAGGCCTAAAAAATAGGCTTTTTCAAATTTTTTTTCTGAGCAGGTTTTTGAATAAACATTAACAAATACTATAAAGATCAATTAAGCAACTCGTCAGGTATAAGAAAAAAATTGTTTGTTGGCAAAATTAAACAAAATGGCGGCTTTCGGTCGATAAATATAAAGTGATGTTTGAAAATGTGGCTCTGCTGCACGCAGTAGAGGTCTCCTGCACCATCATCTGCAAGCATACAAATTTTTTTTCATAAACTAGACGAGTTTATCTAGAGAAGTACACACGATTATAATTTTATAAAATTTTTTCGAAAAATGGCATGACTTTGAAAAAAAAATTGATTTTTTGACTAAAAAATCGCTATTCAAATATCTCTAAAAAATTTTTTTTCATCCACTGTACAAATCGTGTGTACTTCTTTAGATAATCTAATTAAGAAGTTACAGTTAAAATTTCAAGTCATTTGGATAAAAACTCTTCGAGTTCTACTGCGTGCAGATTTCAAAAATGTGGTTTCTAGAAAATCGCAGTTAAAGTTTAAGAACACTACAACTTTTTGAAATCATGATAATATGGTCTGTAATAATTTTTTACCTTCACTTTGCTATCCCAGCACCATACAATTGCCCTTCCAAATTAGAATTTTGGTCCTCTTGTTCCTTTCTCGACGAAGTAATACTGCGTCTCGCCATTTTCTCGACTTCTAAAATCGAGTGTTCAGCGGCCTTAATGCGATTTGCGTCCGATTCCATACAGAAGTCGAGTAAAAAACGCCAAACTGTTATACCTAGTGCATCGTAGATGGAAAATAAGCCGGATAATTCCACGTTGAAAGTGATGGTGGATGTATCAGTCGCTATATCGAGAATTTTCTTTCCGCTTGACATCGATTTTGGAGCGATGGCCCATACGACTGAGTTAAAAGACTCATTTTGATTTTGAGTGTATCCGCCTAAGCAACCAGAGAGAGAAGATCGTCGGAGCTCAAGTCTTTGTATATGGGCTTGATAGCTTCAGAAACATCTTTATGCATAGCAGGCTTATGCTGATAAGAGAAAAGAGTGCCTAACGCTTTGCTCTTTTGCCAAGAGCACCAAGAATCGACTCCGACTGGACACTTTTCGTGCTGCGGTTGTTCGTCCGTAGATATTTTGTGATAGAGGGTTGCCCATATATAATTTCTCATATTCTCAACAGATGTGAAGTTTCTAACAAATCAAAAGAAGATCTTATTTATTCGTTTGCAATTTTATCTTTTTCCAAGAACTTGAGTCAATTTTCGCCTGCGTTTTGTCAGAAAAATTTACATAATTTCTATAATATTGGAGGTTACTCATTTTTCTTATTTTTAAATGAATCCTTATAGTTTTGCGCATCAATATATCGTAACTTAATCTGTCAAAAACATTGAGAACATTCTTCAATTTTCAATTGTTTAAAAGAATTGTTAATAACAATTATAAATTTTTATTTTTTAGCAATCGCTTCATTTCGTTTTTAAAGTATAGACTTTAAGCTTTAATTTAAAAAAAATTACTTAATTATCTTTATTTGTTTCAAAGTAATAATAAAATGAAAATAAAATGACCCAAAACTTCAATATCTGATTACTTCAAAAATAAATTTTTTTTGAATAATATTTTAGGGGGAAAAAGTGTACTCATATATCTACCAAAAATGATAGATAACTTGAAGATTGGAGACAAAAATTTTTCAAGTGGCCGGTTTCACTTATTTTGACCCTTATACTTAAGTACCAACAGTTTACAAAATTGCTAAGGTTTATGTGCAGTAACATTTTCAAAGTTTCATGTAAATTGTCATGCAAGCTTTACTGTACAGGAACCTTTACAGGAACATTTAATAGCTGAAATGAACTGAAATAACGATATCTCATTAAGAAATAAAGATTTTTTCAATTTTCAAAAGGCTATTTAAAGGGAAATAATATTACTTTCAGATGCTGCAAATAACCTTCAGAAAAAAAATGTTCTCTTGATTTTACAGGACTTCAAAAATTCCAAAAAACGTGTTTTTGGCACTTTTAGGTTAGAATATATTAAAAACCTGACGTGATGGGGCAATTCTTATGTCAGATTAGGATTCAACAGTTAAAAACCTTTAGTAAAGTAGGTATTGTCATATTCTAGGTTCTGAGATTCGCCAAAATTTTGTCGGCCTGTGTTATATTCAATAAACTCTTACTATTGTTATAATCTAAAATATATGAGTTTTATTTAAGTTTGTCCTGCCAACAAATTATATTACGGGCTTCCGGAAAAAATCAAGCCCAAAAAGTGTTTTCCCGCATGTCGTATCACTTCTAAATAATTAGAGATATTTAGTTCCGATTTATCATGTTAATTAGATGAATCCATGATGATAAAGAATATTTTCAAAATTTGAAAGTAATTTTTGAAATAAATATTGAAAAACGAAAATAGAAAAGTTGGATTTTTAGTGAAATTGAGAGACAATATAGCGGCAAACAAACATACAAGTGGATCTAAATGTCAGTGGTCAAGGAGGTTTGCGTCAATTCTCATAAGTGGTCGCGAGTTGAACTGAGGGAAATGTATTAACCTCAAATTACTCCACTTTCAATCGTTAATAAAATAATTTGATCTGAAAATTATTGAAAAAAAGCGAGAGGGACACTCCTCCGAAACTATTCCTATATCATCTCTCTAAATATGAACCCGAAATATTTTATCCTCTCAAAATAAAACGTATATACTGAACTTTTAGGTCATCCTTAGGACAACATAGACTAAGGAAATTAATTAAGGATTGTCCCTGTGGTGGTGAGGGGCAAAAGGGTTGTTCCCATTACTCCCATGTAAAACTTTGCATATTTGCAACATGAAAAAAATTCCATTTTCATAATATTAATAAAAAAATTATATTTTTAGTTTATTGAAAGAAAAAAACATTCAAAGAAGATGTAAAAATTAATAATTAAAATTTTTTCATTACTTATATCGTAATAATTATATTTTATTAATTTTCTGAAATTATGTTAAAAATCACTGCAATATTACTAAACAAATATTTTGGAATGACTGATTATAAGTATATTGTGAGAGGTTATCCTCAAATTTTATAGTGTTGAGAACACAAAAATTATGATAAACAAGTGAAAAATATAATTATGATACAAAATAAACATAAAAATAAATAAGGAATATTTTTAATTTTAAGTGTGCAGAACAAAATTTGTATTTTTTGAGGTTATGTGTTGCGATAATTTGTGTAAGCTCTCATAAGAACATATATATTAAAACAGTTATTTATTTTTAATTATTTCTAAAAAAAATACGTTGTAAAAAATGCTGAAAAAATCATAGATTATTAAATTGATATTATGAACAAATTGTTCAAGTTTAGTTAGTATAAATAATTTTGATAAATTACAGGTGACAATCCTTAATTCATTATTTTCCTAAGGTTGTCTTTAAGACGTCCCATGTACCAGCTTCTATAGGGAATATTTTCAGAAATTGTAATTTAAAAACTATAAATTTCATAATATATACAATTTATTTTAAACTCAAAAATAAAAAATATAAATTTGAGAAAAAACAAAGATTTATAACGGAAAGTAATTAAAAATTAAAAATGTAAATTGAATAATATTATGTCAAACGATATATGTGTTAAAATAATTTTATATGAAATTAATTTACTGTAAAATAAAAATTATGTAAAGGGTTAAGAGTTTTTGGCAAAATTTTGAGTATTTTATTGAAGGGTGGGTAGTGTAGTGTTTGAGATAACAAAGGAAAGAGTAGTGGTGAAAGTAAAAAGAGTGTATGTGTGCGAGTGGGTAAGTGTGAGTGATAAAAAAGGTAAAAAAGAGAAGTGAATGTTGTGAGGTTAGGTTGCTTGAAGTGAGAGAAAAGAGAGAGAGAGACACTGGGAAATATTGAATGATAAGGTAGATTTCTGGAATGGCTGAATTTGATTCAAGTAGTGTGCGAGAGAGTGAGGAAAAGGCGCGAATATTTAAAAGAGGGTTTGGGAAGAATGGAAAGGTAATGACGTGTGAAGACTGTATGGACTTGATGGAGCAAGTGGAAATGTTGAATGAGGCAATGGAAGAGCGTTTTGTGAGAGTGAGGAAGAATTTTGTAACGGTGTGTGAAGCAGGTGATGAGAGGGATAAAGAGATAGATGAATAAGATGAGGAAATGGAAAGGATGCAGGAAAAGTGGAAAAGGTTGGCGAGTGAGTTGGAAGGTATGAGAGAAAGAGTGGATGATTTGGAAAAATTTATTTTAGAGAAGAAGGAACAGGATGAGAAAATTAATGTTATGTTAAAAAAGGGGGTAAAAATGTGTAGTGAGGAGAGTGAAAGTGTATATTATGAACAAAAGGTGAATGAGTTGGAAAGAAGAGTGGAATGGATGGAAAAGGATAAAAGAAAGAGAAATATAATGATTAGGGGTATGAATGCAGGTTTAAGTGAAGGAAGAAGAGAGGTGGGGAGACTGGCTGAAAGGATCGGGGTGAAAATTAATATTAGGCAGATGAAAGCGATGAGTATGGATGCAAATGGAATTCCGGGGATGTGGTTAGCAGAACTGGGAAGTGAGGAGGAGAAAGAGGAGGTTATGAGGATGAAAGGAAGGTTGAAAGGATACATTTAATTTTCGTTAACTACTTTTTGCTACTTTTTTGAAAGTAATTATCGAGTGCGAAGCCTGCGGTTGTATCCGCTTAAATTTTGTACGTATTGCGTAAGAAAATTTAGCCTATAATTTTTGAAAAAAAATTTTAGCTGACATTTAGTGCAGAATTTTATACGAATTTCCGTGCAGAATTTTCTAAAAAAAATTCAAAAGAAATCCGTTAGTAATTCGTTTGAAGTTCGTTCAAATTCCGTACGGAAATTTGTTCAAAATTTTTTTTTTAATTTTTAACTGACATTTCATGCTGAATTCTATACCCGTGCAGAAATTTCTAAAAATTTCCCATGAATAATTTCGTAAGGAAATTTGGCAGAAATTTTTTTTAAATTTCTAGCTGACATTGCATGCGGAATTCCATACGTATTTCCAAACATAATTTTTTATAAATTTTCCATAAATAATTCGTTAGTAATTCGCCCGAATTTCGTATGGAATTCGTTCGGAAACTTGGACGAAAATTTTTGAATCAAATAATTGTAAAACGATTTTCCGTGCGAATTTCCATACAAGATTCCAAACGAATTTTTTTTCAAATCCGGGCATTATTCGCACGAATATTTGTGCAGAAAAACGTTTTAAAACACCACACGAATTTTACTAGTAATTTCATACGAATTGTACAGGAAATTTGTATGAATTTGGTCTGATTTCTGTGCAAAATTCGTACAAAGAATTTATATCTGGGTAGTACGTAAAAGAATAACTGCTATCTGCTATATTTTAAATGTAATTTACTAATAATTTTGAAATAGAAATGAATTTATTACATTTCGCCAATGTGGAGCTGTCTTTTTGGCCTTCCCCACAGCATTTAGTTTATCTGTCATTTCATTCTATTTTATGCTGCTGTGGACTTTTCTTTAAAATCCTATGTGAGCATAGTACATGGTCGCTCACTATATATGAAAGCAAGATCGATTGATGTTCAAAAGTAACTCGCACTAAAATAAAAAGACGTTTATCAATTATGTTTAAAATTCCTGAACATAATATTAAAAGACATTCTCCGTGAAATTGTCACTGAAAAATTTTTTTCATTAAAACAATTTTATGTAACTCAGGCATGATTATGCGTCTATTACTGCTTGTTGCTCTATTACATTTTCCCAAAATTCCTTTTCATTCACCAATGTAAGAAATGAGAAATTTTGTCAATATTTGGACTAATATTAGTCTAATTCACTTATTTTTAATATAGAATTCAAAGAAAATTACTTTATTAAACAAATTTTTTTTCATTGAAAATTTCACGGAGAATGAAATGATGATTTTAAGAAGTATTAATTATTTCATGAAATTATTATTACATCAACAAATTTCGATTGCGCAATTTGACAAATCGAAAGTATGCAAGTACTTTTTCATGATTTATAATAAAATAATATTACAAATTAAAAAAATTATAATTAACAAATAAAAAATTTATCCATTTTGTTTTTTAAATGTATATTTATTAATAATTATGGGGGTACACTATTTGAGGTGCGTAAAATGTTTGTGGTGAGTATGGTGGTTGGTAAAATGTCTGTGATGCGTATGATGGTTGATAAGCTGTTTGTGTTGTAGATGTCATTTGTTGTACCGGGTAGAATGGTTGTGATGGATGGTATGTTTGTGGTAAGCATGATGTTTGTTGATTGTAGAATGTTTGTATGGATAATGCGTATCGTATTTGTTGTTGGTATAATGTTTGTGGTTGATATGATCGAGTGTGTGGTACATAAGGTGTATATCGACTCATCCATCGTTATCGTCCATCATTTTTATTATAAAATTTCAGTTGCTGCAATTCTCTGAAAATTACAAATAAAATTTAAATTAATATTTTAAATTGAATAGAAAATATAATACGTTTTTAAGAAAAGAAGATTTTTTTATTTAAATAGGGAACGTGCACCAATTACCGAGGGTACACCAATTGTCGAGGATCATAATTTTCTTTTACAGATAAATAGTATAATATAAAATATTTAAAAAAAAAGATTTCAAATAATCTTTATATTTTTAATTGTATATTTACATATTCAAATTCTATCGCAATGTTACTAAAATAATTATTTAATTAAAATTATAATTTACTGTTTTTTACATTTTTCTCTCAAAATAACAGATTTTAGCAAATAATAAGAACATAAAATGTTTATTTTCATAGCATCTAAAACTTTTGTTAAAAAGATTTTTCAAAATTTTGCATTTTTTGCGAGTTATACGCAAAAAATACAATTTTATGTTTTTTTATGGCTTTTACCATGAAAATCAAATTTGCGCCATAATAGGGCTTTAGACTTAATAACGTCTAGGATGTCATTGATATAAAGGGTAAAGAGTGGTGATCCGAGAAAGGACTATTGGCTTATATTTATTTATTTACATTAAAACTGTGACGCTTTTCGATCCTTATAATTAAACAAAACGTCAGACAATATAAAAGGCAGAAATAAATAAACATGGAAACATATAATAATGTTCTTATTACTATAGTAAACCATTGTTAACGCGTACTCGGTTAACACGAATTCTCTCTCAACACGTACAAAAATTGCGGTCCCGTCAGAGAGATACATATAAACTGTATGGGGGCATTCCAGGCCAAATCGGAAATTATTTTGCTTTTGCATCTCAAATTTTTTTTAAACATTTTTTCTTTTAGTACTCTTTAAAATGAGCTACCTTGATTTTTTTCAAATTTTTTCATAAAGCGATTCAGGAGATACAGATTTTTGAAGAACGACGTTTTTTACGTACATTTTTTTAAAATGCTTATAACTCGATCAAAAATTAATCAAATTGGACGTTTTTATAATGAAAAGTTTTGTTTTCACGCGTAGTTTTTAATAAAAATATTTTTAAATAATTTACGCTATTAAGATTTTAAAATTTTTAAAATAAAATTTCATTTTTAAACATGTATGTATTAATCAATTTTTTTCAAAATTTTTTTAAAGAAACTAGCACTAAATTAACAATTTCTAAGCCTTATCCGATCGTGGGCAAACGATGGGATCTATTTATTTTGAAATTTTTAATTTTTATATACGCAGTGGTGGCCAAATGACTAACTTTCCATTTGACAAAATCACACAAATTTTTCACAGCAAATGTGTTTTCAGACTGAGTCTCTCCAAACTAAACCTTCTTTCTGTGTAAAATTGTGATTTGGTCAAATGACAAGTTAGGCCTACCGTTTTCACTGTATATAAAAATTAAAAATTTCAAAATAAATAGATTCCATCGTTTGCCCACGATCGGATAAGGCTTAGAAATTGTTAATTTAGTGCTAGTTTCTTACAAAAAATTGTGAAAAAAGTTGATTGATTTTACATACATTGTTAAAAATGAAATTTTATTTAAAAGTTTTTTTAGTTTTATCGTAAATTATTTAAAAATTTTTTTAAAATATTTTTATTAAAAACTACGCGTGCACGGAGAGAAGAGAATAGTGAAGGCGACTATCGGTTCAGTTCCGATAACTAAACAGTCTTGTTAATTTTCGACGGACAAATTTAACAGTCGCATCTACTATACTATAGTAGGAACGACTGTCAGTTTAGTCAGGGAAACTAAACAGGAACTAAACCGCCAGGGGCGCTACAATCGCTCTCCATGTGTTTCTGCTACTAAACGCGTTTTGTTGTCACGGCAATAACTCTTCTCTCAGTGTGAAAACAAAACTTTTCATTATAAAAACGTCCAATTTGAACAATTTTTGACCGAGTTATAAGCATTTAAAAAAATGTACGTAAAAAACGTCATTTTTCAAAAATCTGTATCTCCTAAACCGCTTTATCAAAAAATTTGAAAAAAATCAAGGTAGCAAAATAATTTCCGATTTGGCCTGGAATGCCCCATAGAGACTTCCTCGGTTAACACGAACAGTTTTTGCAGTCCTCATTTCGTTCTTAGGTCGGTTAACGCGTAAAAATTGGTACAATCAAACTTGGAGTGGGATAGTTCCACCTATTTTTTCACCTCTTAAAATATATTTAATAATATAATAATTCTATTAATTGTTTGATCAATTAGTATGATAACGTATTTTCGTAAAATAATATAAGAAATCATCGGTTGGGTGCAGAAAGGTGCCAATTCAGACTTGTTGTGAAAAACGTGCCGTTTCAAAAAACACGTGAGAAACCTGCCACTTCAGCTGCGATTTGGAAAACATGTCAATTCAGAATTTATTGACGTTCATTTTTTTCATTTTGTGTGAAACCTCTGCGGTTTTAGTATTTTTTAAATAACTTTTGTTTTCCTCATTGCAAAATAAAATCAGTTTCTATACCTTTCGACAATTTACTCCTCAACACATTTCTAAAAAAAAATTAAGTTTAAACATAATTAATATTTAATTATGAAGCTTCAAAGCCAGAAAAAACTCGAAAAAGTGAGGTTATGTTAAATAAAAAAATCAAGTTTTCCAAACAATTTTTGTTCTACTGTTGGTTAATGACAAAATTATATTATAAATATAATTAAAATGAATTGTTTAATGATTTTTTTGCTTATTTGTTAATGTTACATTATTTTTACATGTCAAGTGGAATTCCTTCGAAGATGTGCATTCGTGTAATTAATTTTTATTTTTGAGACCGAAAATTATTTTTATTAATTTTATAATTTAGAATAATTTACTACATATTTGTAAGTTTGTGTTAAAACTAAATTTTTGTTGATTCCTTTGTTTATGTTGTAATGCTGCAGTCGTATGTTATTTAAAAAGAGCGCGAATATATAAATTTTATTTTTGTTAAGAGAAAGTACTCATAATAAATCTTATTTTGCATTGTCAAAAAAAACGTCAACATTTCAAATATAAATAAGCAAAATATTAACTGAAAAAATTTGAATATTATTATTAATGAAATAATGGACTTGGACAATGGACATATAAAAACTAGCACCGTAGACGGCCGTCGGAGGAGCTAGTTAAAGTAATAAAATCCATGCTTATGTATAAAATTCATATAGTAATTATTTCAAATAATAATTATATCTGTCAAAAATTATGAAAAATAAATATTATATTTTTAACAATATCATTATATAGAATTTTGCAAGTTAAAAAATTATTAAAAAGTTAAAAACTAAATATTCTGTAATTAAGAAATTTAAAAAAATATAATTCAATTGAATGTAAATTATACCAAATAACTTTTTTGAATAATATTGAAATAATGTTAATGTTATGGTTGTAAAGTTAAAAATTGAATTAAACACAATAACAGTGCTGCTAGATGATTAAAACGACAAATCTTCAAATTTTTCTTATTTACCTTCAGAAATCTTTAAATTAGTCAAAAAACGTTCTTCAGATTTTGGTTATAATTTTTTCTAAAATACGATAAATGAAATTAAATTTCACAAAGAATTATAAAGAAATAAATTAATATTGCTGTGTTTGAATCTGTTTGCAATTTGAGAGTAATTTTGTTTGCTTCTCAACTTTTTAAATAAATTTTCGTTTTCAATGTTTTTAATTTAAAAAATAAATGCATTAAAAATTACTCAATTTTTGCAAAGTAGTTATCGAAAAATTTAAAAATAATTAGTCATTTAATTTTCATAAAAATCTTTTTAAAATAATTGAATTCTTTTGAGAAAATTTAATTAAAATTGTATTCAAAATAATATTGAATTCTCGCAAAAAATATTATTTATAAAAAGAGTTAAATACTTCCAAAAAATGTTATTAAAATTATTGAAAATAATTGAGTTCCTGCAATGAATTTTACTTAATTAAAATAAGTTAATTATTATTATTATTATCAATTTTTAAAAATAATTTAATTCTTGCGAAAACTGTTATTGACATTTTTGAAAATAATGAACAAGAATAGTTAATTATGTAGTTAATAGATGAATTTTTTAAATTTTGAATTTAAAATTATTCAAAAATTAATGTTTAGGTATATTTGAAAATATAAAATTTTTTAATTTGCAAAATAATAAATGGAACAGTTACAATTAGTATAGTAATTAATAATTATTACATTTATTATTTTTAATCATAATAATTTAAAGAATAAAAATTATAATTTATCTTTAAAAATGGTTTATTAATATTATTTAAATGTTTATAAACATTTTCATTATTATACCCACAAAAATTAATTTTCAAAACAAACAAATGAATGCAGATAATTTGCTAACGGAAAGGAAACTTACGATTATTATAATGTATTATTTATAATTATCATACTATTATTACTATTATTAAAATGTCTATTTTAATTTGTTTTTTAAAATCTTCATTTCAAGATAATTAATGTTTAGTTTTTTAATAATTATCACCAATAAAATTGGATCAATTATATGTTTCCTTCTATTATAGAAATTCAGCCAAGAGATTTTTAAAGTGAAAATTGGCGATTGGGTTGCCAGAAAATATTTGCCGTATAATTTTTTCGAAGATGATGAGACGCAACATTTATTCAATTTTCTAAATCCAGTTGCGCAATATGCAAAACGAAATCAACTAAAAAGCTTAGTTCAAGATAGTTTTATAAACAAACAAAGATCAGTGATGACTATTTTAAAAAAACCAATCAAGAATTTCATGCACCGTTGATGGTTGTACATCCATAGCAGGTCGATCGTATTACTGCATTACCGGACATTTTATTGGAGACGATTGATTGGCGTTTACACTCTCTGCTCATTGATTTCTAGTTGTACATCCATAGCAGGTGGATCTTATTACTGCATTACCGGACATTTTATTGGAGACGATTGGCGTTTACACTCTCTGCTCATTGATTTTAGGGATTACAGTACATAACGTATCTTCCAACACCAGTTTTATGTGGGAATTGAGTTTGCCTATGTATTTTGATCATAAAAATTAACATTTTCGCTGCAAATGAGAAATTGATGAAGCATTATAATAAAAGCAACTGGGTGTATTGCTTCGTGTTAATTTTGTATCCTATAGGCACAAATTTGAGTAATTTGAAAAAACGTTTTGGGGTCAAGAAATTGCGAAATATTTGCTATCGAAATTTGAAATTTACTCAAAGAGTGTGATATCTCAGTAAAAAAATTTTAAATTTTATAAATTTAATTTCGTTTTAAAGAGGTCATAGAAACCGCTTGACATAAATGAAAAAAACAACATCTGACTATTCCTTCACCCAAATCGTCATCAACAGCATTTATAATCCCCATCTCGAAATCGCTCATTACAAACCGAGGATTCGCGTTTAGTCCAAGCTTTTCTTCTTCTCGTAATACTACATCAAAGACTTTACTATATGATGATTGTCGCTTATTTTCTAGAAGCGCGTGCACAAAAGGTAATCTAATGGTTTGTGGCTTGCGATTGACGCCAACTTGATGAACAGCGCCGAGTATGGAAAACATTTGGAAAAAAAGAGCATGCGCAGTCTTAAATGTTTATATTTTTTAATACCCTTGTCTTCCTAACCAAACTATATCAAACAAAATGTACTGTAAATTTTTTTTATTTAAATAATAATATATATATGTAAACTAAATTTAAGTTTGGTGTGCAAAAGTACATTATTGCCGCTTTATGTATCAGAAAATATAATAAATCTTTTATTAAAAAATTAAGTAATTCTCTAGTTAAGTTTTCTTTGTTCTATCTCCAAATATCGATGTTCCAACTCTGACACTAGTACTGCCAAGATCAATCTAAAAAAGCAAATAAATATTACATTAAGGGCATCCGGGAAATAATACTGGTTTCGTGATAGACGTCTCATTTAAAAAGAAAAGAATATTTTGAGTCGGGATTTTTTGGTAAATATAGAGAAATGCTCTGGGACCAGCGGTCCTCTCGGAATTTAGAGAAATTTTGATAAATAATTATTGAAAAAAATTGTTCAAATATATGGAAAAAGGGGGTTTTGAACGGTTCAGTATAGACGTCTCATTTTGAGAGGATAAAATATTTCGGGTTCATATTTGGAGGGGTGATAGAGGAAGAGTCTCCGAGGAGCGGCCCTCTCCGTTTTTGCAATAATTTTGCGAGGAAATTATTTTATTAACGATTGAAAGTGGAGTAATTTGAGGTTAATACATTTCCCTCAGTTCAACTCTTGACCACTTCCGAGAATTGGCGCCACCTCCTTGACCACTGACACATAGATCCACTTGTCTGTGTGCTCGCCGCCATATTGCCTCTCACTTTCGCCCAAAATCCAACTTTTGTAATTTCGTTTTTCAATATTTATTTCAAAAATTACTTGCAAATTTCGAGAATATTCTTTATCATCATGAATTCTCCTAATTATCATGATAAATCCGAACTAAATATCTCTAATTATTTAGGAGTGAGACGACACGCGGGAAAACACTTTTTGGGCTCGATTTTTCCCGGATGCCCTTAAGAGACAAATAAAAAACGCTGCCAAGTTCCATCTTATTAGTAAGACTGATCAAGAAAATTTAAAGACAAATAATCATTATGTATAGCTATATTCTATTATTTAAAATATTGTATTTCGAAACAAGACAAGTACAAAGAAATTATTTAAAACAATCATTTTCTCAAAATGTTCTGAATTAAATACAGTTTTTTTTCAAAAATAAAAAAAAAATTTAAACTATATGCTACCACGTCTGAGAAAAGAGACATTATGATCAAAAAAATCGATAGGGTTTCTTACAATTTAAGGTTTTAAAAATATAATGCAATTAGTCCTAGGTTAAAAATATTTTTTTGCAAAGTAAATTAATTTTTTCCGGTTTTTGGAAGACGTATAAAAGGTAAAAGAAAAACACTGTTTTACTTCTTTATAAAATAGACAACATTTCGGTGGTCTGATTCGACACCATCATTAGGTCACTTTAATAATAATTGTAGAAGAATTTACTAAATATTGAATTTTTGTGCAATTGTCTTAACAAATTAAAAAAAAAAGTTTTATCACTTAAAAAAAATTTTTCAATGAAATTATACTTTTCTATTACTAAAATGATTGTAGGTATTTTCGCTTAAAATCAGTAATTTGAATGACAAACTTTAAATGCATTTTACTCGAAAAGTTGAGTTTGGTCATAAGGTCACCTTTTTAATTTTATTAATTACAAAATTCTGGAGAAGATAAGGAATCCAAATAACATAGTTACAAAAAAACGAAGGGGTGCTTATGCCCGAAAAAATTTAATAAAAAATTTTTTTTACTTTTTGCTATTTTTGAAAAAAAATTACTTTAAACTTTAATGCCCAAGTTTCAGAAAAATTGACAACCCATTGCCTACATTGATTTTTTGAGAAAATTTGACCCACCTGGTGATTAACTTTTAGTTTTTCTTAGCACTTTTATCATCTTAGTAAAAAGTTTAAACTTAATTATCTCTCAAAGTAGCTTCGGGATTAAAACGAATTTTTGTCCAAGTGTATCTATTTAGTGATCAATTAGTAGGTATTGTTCTTTCATATTCATAAAGAAAAAAGTCAAATAATAAATTAGATCAATCTTAATTAATTCTTTTTGTTTTTAATATTTTTTTTAAATTTTACGAACTTTGGGTTAAAAAAATGAATGTCTCTTTATCTTCGAACTTTGCAAATAGTTTTTAGTAATTACTGTAAATGTGGATCTCTTTGTATATTTCCACTTGGCAGCAGTTTTTTTGGGCTTACATAAAATAGTAAAGTCAAGTTTTCGAAATTACGTACCGCATGTTCATAGTCTGAAGACATTCCCATCGAAAGTTCTATATTATTGTTATTAAGTCCCAGTTCTTGACAAACATTATTGCGACATTCTACTAAAGACAAGAAGTCTGGATTTGGACCTTTAGAAATGTCATATCCGTATTGTCCAATAGTCATTAATCCAGTGAACTCCAAGTATTTACAATTTTCTAAAATATATTTTACTAATGACGATACTGCTTCTACTTTACAACCACTTTTTCCTGAAAAAAGTATTCTATATAACTTCGAACAAAAAATGATCCATAGGTATACTTAAGAAAGATTTTATTTATAGTTATATATTTTATATATATAGGAGGAAAAGTAAAAACTATAAGTAGGATATTCTTTCACTATTAGTAGGTCAATAATAGTTAAAAAAAATTCAATACTGGAAATGATGAAAAATGTTGTAAATTTGTTTATCTATAAAAAATATCTGTTTGATAACTAACAACTATTAAAAATTTTTATTTTAGAATTAACTCTTAAAATTTCTCTATTACCGAACTAACAGCAATTAAAAATACCTATTTCAGAATTTACAAGCAGCTAGGCTAAAATTTTTCATAATTACTACACTGTACAATTATTATTATTTAAACAATTTTTAAACAAATGGTAAATGTAAATGGTTGTTTTTTTGTTAATTAATAATGTTGAAAATGATTTAATTTTAATTTATATTTATTAATTTAATTCATAAGTTACACCTAATTTTTTGCAAAATTTTTTAAGTCTGATGTAAATAGTCATATTAAGAAAAAAGAACACATAATTATTGAATTTATTTCAATTTAAATAACCACATAAAACAAAGGATCAACTCTAACAGCAAGGGACATTCTAGGATATCCTACGGACGTCCTAGTCACATCCGGAAATTTGGATAACCCTAGGATGTCCTTAAGATATCTCAAGACATCCTACGAATATAATAGTTTCCAGATATTCTTGGGACATACTGAATATCCGGATGTTGTTATAGGGAAGTACGACTATCTGTTAAATCTATAATTTTAATTGATTATAACTTCATAATAATAACCGACTTACAAACTAATTCAATTGGCTGATAGTTCTCTAAATTGATTCATTATTTAAGAAAATTTTAACTATCGGAACTGAAAAGAAAAATTATATTTAAGGAGAAAGGGATTTGTGAAGAAGTAAAAGAGTATCAAAAATGCAAATGATAATCCAGGAAATTAAAGAAGAACCAAGAGAAACAGAACATCGACTAGGAGATGTTAATTGTTAAATTACCTTCTTCATTACTCGTATTAACTTGTACTAGAATTTTTAGTTTAGAATTTTCGTTTTTGATGTGTTTCATCCAACCCACATCAAGAGCTGAGGCGATTTTCTCACTGTCGACACTTTCAACAACAAATAGATTTGTAGTTTTAACAATTTTGTTAACTTTGTTTCCTTGCAAATGGCCAATGTAATGCCAACGAATTTCTTTACATTGTTCCAATATTTTTGGATCACTTGCTTTTTCAGCTAACTCGTTCACATAATTTTCTCCAAAATGTTTTTGACCAGCTTCGTATGCCTTAATTATATCATCTGCTGGTTTTAATTTACTAACAGCAACTAATCTTGGCTCTACAGTATTTAATTCCTTTAAAATTATAGCATTATTAGAATGTAGTTATTTATCTTTATTCAGTGGTTTTTATTCATCAAGCCTCACATAATAATATTATAGTAACAAATTGTTAAAGGTATCGATTTGAAATATATGGTAAATTAAAAAATTTATATTGTAAATTTAATTTAATTCTAAATTTTAATTGAAATGTGAGGAACTGATAGAATAACAACGGAAGTAAAAGTAAAATGAATCACATGGGAGCAAACACGGGTTAAAATTACTGTGTAATTTATTGATAACTTAATTATGTTAACGATTAAAAATATTAACAATTATAAGAAAAGACCTATTTATTATAATTAATATTTTGTAATCTTTAATATTGATAAATTTAATAATCATTTTAACCCTTTTTTCCTCCCAAATCAATTATCCTAATTTTTCTTTAGTTTTTAACTAAAATTAAATATGGACAATTCCACGTTAAATTTTTGTATGATATTTTAAAATCGGTTAAACATATTTTTTTCTCGTTCTTTATGGAAAAATATAAAACATGTATTTTTTTTGTATAATTGCCCAAATTTTCGAGTTATGAATTTTCGAAATTTCGTATTTTTAAAAGTACTTAGATCTATATTGAGAAGCTCATAAGTTTGAAATGTGTTGACTTTAGAAAAAAGTTGTCAAAAAAAGAAAATTTTGGTTTATCTTCAACTTTTAAGTAAGCCGTGTGGAAATTGCCAAGGTTTGTCAATATTGATTATTGGGTCTATAATGGTCCTAGCTTGGAATGTACCTTAACCTGACCCTAACTTGGAAATAGCTAGAACTTCTTGTTAGATTATAAGTTATAAATATATTTAACAATTTATTTAAAAATATGTATCAGTAATTGTTTATGCGTAATTTTCAGTAATATTCAAACATCACGTAGCAAGATTGAGACAATATTGAATTGAAATGTTTATAGGTATACTTTTAACTTTGAATTTGTAAAATTTGACAGATTATCATTAGAATTCTACTAATTGCTATTACCAGAATTGAGTTACTGATAATTAGTAGAAGGTTACTGATTTGATTAGCAAAATATAAGTTACTGATTCAATCTGTTGTATAAAATATGACATATAGTCAAATTTACTAATTTACTAGTTGAATCTAAAGGTTATGTTGGTTTTTCCTTGGCTACCAGCATATTTACTAATTAAAACTATCTGAAAATTAAAATGAACTTGACTGCAACCTTCTAAATCCTTAATTTCGAAGCTCATAAAACTTGAAGTTAATATTTAAATGTCTGCAGTTTTTCAATGTTTGGCGCATAAGTTGACTAAACATTGCATAAATGTTTACAATTTTTACAATTTTCTTAAATTTTTCAAAACTTTTAAAATTTTCTTTGAACTTCCTCCTTTAGAGAAAAAATTCATTTAAATTAAAAAAAATTTTTACTTCATGCAATGTTCAGTTAACTTTTGCGCTCAACATTGAAAAACTGCTAAAATTAAAAATTTATTTAAAGTTTCAATATATCTAAAAATCGTATCTTTTTATTTTTTCTAACCTATCCCAATCGAAAGCTTAACTTTTTTCCTATGAGCCATGTAATTTTACTTATCAATATATTAAATCAAAAAAAGATATTTTCAAAAAAATCAAAATTTTGAAATTCCACAACTCAAAAAATATTTTATCAAATTAAAAAAAATTATATTTACACTTCAACTAATAATAGTAACATTTTAGCAAATTTTAGAGAAAATTCATTTTTTGACCTGGGGAGTTGAGAAATTATGCCCCATATATAAAACCAAAAATGTCGAGTAGGGTTTTACGTCTGTGTAATGCGTGGTTGCCATATTATTAGGGGCTCAATTTTTTTGCAGCATAATTTTCAAAAGCCAATAACTTTTTTCCTTATGAATGTGTTTTTGTACAGAATTTCTTAAACTTTCAGATAATAATAGTTATTATTTTCAAAAATTTAGTTTTGTTTAAAAAAAATTATACAAAAATAAAAATGCGTATTTAATATGTTTCTATAAAGAACAAAAAATATGTTTAACCGATTTTAAAATGTCATAGAAAAATTTCACGTGGAATTGACACTATACTACATGCTAAAAATTTGTCTTTTTAAAAAGATCAAAAGCAAGATATTTGAGGTTAATTCTCATGAAACATAAATTTAAAAAAAATATAGATTTTGAAAATAGCTAAACATTGCCTTTTATTAATTTTTTATGTACATTACCTTGAAATATTAAATTGGGGGGGGGGGGGCATTTTAATATTTATACATGCATGATTAATGTAAAATTTAATAATATTACGAGTAATTTGGATTCATAATATTTTTTAATTATTTACTTACAGGCAATCTTTTAGCTGCAGCTTGTATGATTTTTTCTCTAACTATTTTTAAATTTGTTACTATTTCAACCATTTTTAACATAAATACTACTTAGTATCAATCTATGTTTTATTTATCAACCATTTTTAAAGATATACATAAACTCTAGTGGAATTTTTATTCAACTAAGTAATTAATGTTTGATTAACATCTTCTGATAAAAGAGAAACTATTTTGAGAATCCATAAATTTTATCCTTCATCTACATTAATGGAATATTTCGCAAATTCTAGATTAATTAAAAAAAATTCTGGAAAAAGAAAATCATTCTGATCTGGTAATTTTACTGAAAAAATATTTTTATAAAGAATAATTAACTTTAATAACCAAACATTGGAAAAGAAGATATTTTTAAATTTTAACTACAGTCGATAATGTAGAAATTTTATAGACTACTTACTAAAAAATTATTTAAAAGTTTCGAGAATATAGAATTCGTTGTTATAAAATTTGTTATCTTTTGCTATTATCAATAAATAGATACAAAGAGCTTTCTCAATTTTAAAGGAAAATTATTTTAAGTGTGTTATCTGTAGAAAAACTAGTTATCTACAATGAGCAGCTGGCGGATGCTGCCCTCTTTCTTAAAACTATATCATTACCAAATACTATTTCACTTTGGAAGCCCAATATCATGTGAAGGATAAAAAATAGAGGTTTAAAAATAAATATTAAATATGATAATTTTATATTACCTTTTGTTGAAATTAAAATAAAAGCCTTTAAGTAACTCTAAGATTACATGATAAATCAAATTCCATAATAAGTGAAAATAAAAAAAAATTTTCTTAAAATCAGTTATGGGCTAACAAAATCATGCAAACTTGGTAAGCTATTATCCGTTTGTAAAATATATCCTAATTTAAAAAAAAATTATGTTAATAAAAATTACTAAAAATATCAATATTAATTAATATTATTTGTGGAAGCATTGTTATATTTTTAGTCAATATTTTTTTGTTAAAATACTTAAATGAAAAAAAATAAATGTAAAATAGGTATATATTTTTTTACAATTTATCAACATTTATACTTTCTAAAATTTCCATTAAGAATATTTTTTAACATATTTTTAAAAGTCTTTTTTCATTATATGATAGTAAGAAACAAATATGAAATTAATTTGATTAGTGCTAGAAGAATTTACTATTTTTAAAAAAATAATATTTCTTTCTATAATTTATAGGCTAACTGTAGAGAATCTTCCATTTTCTGGACAATATGAAAATTATATATACATATATGTTCATGCAAGTCGAACAAGTGACAAAAGTTCAGTGCCGCTCAATAACTTTTGCCCACTGTACAGCGATTAACCCTAGAAATTGAATAATAATCACATGGGACGTTTAACACCCCAGATGAACATCTGGGGTTAAAGGCTTTACAAAAAGTTTTGTATTTCAGTTTATTATAAAAGTTAAAAAGCTCATAAAGGTCTCATTAGAAAGCACATTTCTTGAGCTTTAACATTTGTATAAAACAACAATTTTTAAAATTTTGTTTGTTAATTTTTAATTTATGTTACGTGAAAAAACAAAATTTTACATTTTTTAAAATTTAATACAGTTCTTTTCATAGTAATCAATTTTAATTATACGTATATACGCATTTGAAAGCTAATTTCATCACCTTTAAAACGCATTTCTTAAAATTTTTGTACGATAATATTTAACAAAAATATGTTCATCTGTTTAAAAAATTATCCATTTCTTCAATTGTTACTAACTCAACATGGGTTATTTATTATGTTTAATTAACATTTTCTTTGAAACTCCTAAAATAAATAGAGTCAAGAGAATTAAAATATCAAACTGAACGAAGCATATAGCGCGTAACTTTTAAAGTATAGGATAATGATCCTGCAAAATTAAACAAGGTCCTTTAGACCTTGGCAGCTTGAGGCCTTCCCAAATTAGAAAATAAGGACCATCTTAAAATTCCTAATCAATTTAATTAATTTAAATTACTATTATTTTCTTGTTTGTAACATTTATATATTAAGGGGTTACACCACTTTGACCGCATGATAAAATACGCGTTTTCAAAAATTTGTATTCAACAATGGAAATATTTTTATTTAAAATGAAATACATATATCTATATTGTACTACTATTAAAGTAAAAAAAAAATATTTCAAAATTTTTTTTTCAAAATGAGTTTGGCAGATGATTTAGCGCAACCCTGCAAAAATTTATGGGCAAACGGTGATTTGAGCTAGGACAAAAAACAAAAAAAAAATTTATTTCTGTAACCTAAAATTTATAGTAATACGTAGCCGTTTTTAAAAATATGCATTTTATTATTAATGATAAATATCTTCTTAATAACAAAAAACTTTTTGCAGGTTGAATTTCATGGAGCTCGATAAAGTGGAAAACAAGGTTAGAAAACACGGAAAAATCAAGTCGCCTTTCCCACAGGTTTTTGATTGCAAGTTTCACAATTTGTCGAGATATGTTCCTTTTTCTGCACAATATGGGAGCAAAAATATTGAAAAATTTAATTAAGCACAATGATGAGAATGGACTTAGTCTGAGAGAACATAAATAAAAAAATAAATCGTCTACAAGGGAGACCGTGTTGAGTTCTGATGACATTGAGAATGTTGTTCAATTTTTGAAGACATATATGCATCCCGAGTGTCTATTCCTTTACCTCGAGGACTTTCTCATTGTCGAAATTTCGAAAAAGTGGTAAAGCTGCCGTCATGCGATACAAAATCGGTCTTGTATAGAAAATTTCTAGATGCGGCTTCTAAGGATGAAAATATTCACACATTTGGCCACTCTTCTGTTTTTAATATCTGGAAGATATATTGTTCCGAAATAATGACGATGAAACCAGCGAATGATTTATGCTCAACTTGTCGAGAGAATAATTTAAAGTTGACGAATTTGGCAAACGTTGGAAAACTGAAGACCAAGTTACATTGCTGGATATGGCGAGAATTCATTTAAAAAACGTTAAAAACTAGCGCGATTTCTACAATTTATAACAAGAAATTGCAAAGAACGTAACCCAGTCATCGCTGCTAGTCATTTCATTTAACTGTGCTCAGTACGAGTCATATCCGAATAACCCACAACAAATCGGTACATCGTATTTTTTAGAGCTGCTCGAAAGTGCCACTTATTTAGCATTAATAATGAAGCATCTCACGTTCAAGTCAGCATAGCAATACATAAAGAATACAATGTCGGAAAAGGTGCTAATAGTACGGAATTTGCCCAAACCGATCAATTCTCGGCATCAGAAGCATTGGAAAGTATTAACAGATTAAAAAATTATGCTTTACATTCTACTTATTTATCTCCTCATTACGAAGTGCTTTCAGGAAATTTGAAATGTAAGAGAAAAGGAAGAATACATCTTTCCTACATATGTATAAGTATATGCCAACCAGGGTCAACAGAAACAAAGGTATTTCTGAATTATCAAAATTTCGAAGTTCTAATTCAGAATCAAGTTTTTTCCATGACTATCTAAGTGACTTCCTAAATAGTACTGTTGAAGAATTAGCCCTGAAAGTTGTTTACTTAAAGGTGTCATTCTCCTCTCCACACGATTAAAGACACTTCTGACTGGTGCAAATATGGCATCAAAGTTTTAGGTTTTGAAAGTTTTAATGTCAAATAAGATTGTTTATTGGGTAATGCGTATTTTCACCCGGGCCTAGTCAACAGTCATAATCAATATTGATTTTATTTTTTTATCATGCGTTTTTAAGATCGACTGAAATGAATCTAATTTAACTAATTTATCAAAATCTTGAGCATATGTTGCATTTGTGCTAGAAGAGTGTTTACCATTTCTAATCGTTACCTAAGTAGATCCCGAATATCCAACTACTTCAAGAGAACCAGAACCATGAGGTTTAATAGTAATGTCAGCATAAACGGAAGGTGTTAATTATTGTTTTGCTTCTATCACCCAGTCGTGATCAGGCAACTGAACTCTATATTCAATATGCATTAACACGGTGCGGTGGTTTATTTGTTAGCAACTGGAAGTCCTGTATAAAGGTACTTTTGCCTTGTCGTCTTGAGAAATCAATCCCACTTGTTTCGGACCTAACATTAACGCAAGTTCCTCTAGACTTTGAATTGTAGATTTCGCGAACTTGCCATCAGGATGTTTTTTTATTCATATCAGTTCGCGCCCTGCACAACCTAACTGGTTATTTTTAGGTAACAAACGATAATACGTAGCAGTTTTACTCAAAGTGAAATATAATTCAAATAATTGTTTATGAAGATTATCAAGTGTACGACAACAACCTATAATTTTAGTTCGAAGTTTCAGATCTGCTCCACTACAATTTATATTAGATTTCCGCAATACATTTATCTCTTTTTGACTGTCAAGGAAAGTAGTAATTAAGTCGTCGGGTTAGTGAAAAAAGAAGCCAATTCGAGTAATGATTATAAAAGGTGTCTTTAATATTATTATATGAATATTCTTAAATCGTTTAATATTTTGTGAAATATTTTAATTCGTTAAATATGAATTGTCATCGACTTGTTGTTACATATTGTTGAAAAAGAACAAAATAGAAGTCCATGTTTTTTAATTTGCTTTCATTAATTAAATCGTTAATTTCTATTTTTGACAGTATTTTGTTTTTCAAGTTAAAAGAAAACTTCAAAAACGAATTTCAAATGATACAAATTAAGTTTATGTAATTAATTGCAATGACTTAAACTACTAAAATGAATAGTGATTATTTTTTATGTCCTTCATCAAAAATACAACAGCGATTCGGTAAAAATTTATATTCACCATTAAATGAAAATACTTCGTACTTAGACATTTCACGAAGTGTTCGCATTATTTCTAAAAATGGTGAAATATTAACTGAGATTGAGGACGACAATGATACGCTATTAGAACTGCTTAATGGACAAAATTCGAAATCGTCACAAAATTCTGAAAATTCAACTGCAAACAAAAATAATAACAGTAGTCTGAATAAAAAACAGACACAGAAACGTAAGATAAGTTCTGAAACGTGGAACCGAGAGTGCGAAAAAAGCTCGAAATTCGGATATGGAGTATAAGTCTCAAGACACTCTCATAATGGCAAGAACAGTTGGTTCCACATATGCA